CGCTTCCTTCTCATCTTCTTCGCAGCGTGGTTCTATCTGTCAATGTTTTCGGCACAGTTTCCTAGTTCACACAAACACATACTTGTCAGGGTTTCCACGCTGACGTCCTGGTCTTGCTGACCAGCACCTTTTTTTGGAGCAGTGACAATGAGAGGAAGGGGCGCTCCTGGATTTGGGGGTGAGGGATGTTCTGCCACCTTCAGACCAGTGCTACACAACGAAAGGTGTCCCGTACTGGGATGATTTTTAAATGCCTGGTCCAACCATTATTTAGGTGGACAATGGTGTATAATGATCTAAGCCTTAAAACCTAACTCCATTTCATAAATAAGATCAAAGTGTGTGTGCTGCTTATTTTGCAGTTTTAATGTACACTGAATGTTCTGGGACAGCAATAACCTTGTCAATCAAATGAAGACTCTTGTTCAGGAATCTACCAAGGGCTATTTTGTTTACTACTACGGGAAAACTCGCCTATACACTCTTATATTCATAGTTCAAGCAGCTATTTATGTGCAAAAATTTACATTTGGAAAAGCATATGACTTTATTATGAATGACTTCATTTATCCTTTGTATATTATTAGGGAGCTCTGGTGGTGCTGTAGGGTAGGTGTTGGACTACTAAGCACAAGGTTCAGCAGTTCAATCCCACCTCTGTGAGAGAAAGATGAGACTGCTGTTCCCTTAAAGCAGGGGTCCTCAAACTTTTTAAACAAGGGGCCAGTTCACTGTGCCTCAGACAGTTGGAGGGCCGGACTATAGTTTAAAAAAAAACTATGAACAAATTCCTATGTATACTGGACGAGTCGGCTGCTAAGCAGGACAGGCAGCAGCGGCAAAAACACCTGGCAAGCCGGATAAATGTCCTCGGCGGGCCACATGTGGCCCACGGGCCATAGTTTGAGGGCCCCTGCCTTAAAGAATCAGTCTCAGAAAACCTGTGCTGGGTTGCTGTGAGTCAGCATTGACTCAAGGCAGTGGGTTTATACACTCTTTTATATAAATATATAGTATGTATATTACAGCTATCAGAGAAATATATTTATATACTTTGGTGC